ACTTCTCCACAGACTTCACTTGAATCTGCTTGAGAATAAGCTTTTAGCTTTGCAGTTATTACCTGAAGATCTCGCTGATTTTCTAGTCTTTTAAGCTCTTGCCTTTGTGTAGCAATAGCCTCCTCCATTTCTATCTCGGCCTGCTTCGCGGCAAGCTGTGCAGCACACTCTGCCTTTTTTACATTGATGCTTTGCTGCTCCGATAAACAGCTTGAGCGGTGGCTACGTACTGAAGGTCGGGAGATTGTAGTCCCAAATATTGACTGAGCATATTCTCTGTCTAGCACCATGTGAAGTCTTGCATTTTCTGCCTTAGCATCAAACTCTTCTATCCCCACTTCGCTCATACGTACTTTAAGTATTCTCATCAAGTCCGCTGTTACTGCTGTGCAGGAATCAATTTTTCTTCTAGTCTCAGTAGAAGGGGCTGCCTGCGATCTTATATCTTCGTATGTATTTTTCACTTGTGACTCCAGCCCTTCGACAGTATCCATCATGTCAGCTAATTCCTGGTCAGAGCACTCTTCTTTAAGTTTGGAACGTGTAACTTTAACTTGTTCTTTCCAGGTTTCATATAGTTTGATAAATTTACTCTCCTTCTGAGAAAACTCTTGTTGCTTAATTTCTAACATTTTGGGTGTTAACTTTCGCTCCCTTGAGGATTTCCTGGGCTCTAGTCTTGAAGTATTAGTGGCAGGCTTCTGCTTTATTTCTATTTTAGCATGAATATCACCTATGAGTAACTCCAATTTCTCCCTTTCAACATCATCAGTCTGTAATTTCAATTGTTCATTCAATCTACTTAGCTCTTCCTTAAGGGAATCCATTTGTTCTCAGAATTCTTCAATATGTGATTTTTCTGTGTTTACTGACATTGCACATGTTTCAGCAAACCTGCTGCATAACAAGTCGTTGCTATATGTATATGCGATCCTGGCAAACATATAATTCTCAATACAATCTGATTCTTGCAACAATTTGCTTAACAACACCCCTTGTTAGTCTTCTTTTAAGTTGAACTCTTAAACATCATTAGAACACTTTAAACAACACCACTTGTAAATTAAAGGGGAAAAGTTTGGCTATGACAGGCTGGTTACCTTTAGCTCAGTACCTTTCTCATACAAAATAAATTATTATATTAATAGACCTTTCCAAACTTTACTAACAGCTGTGGATATATCACAGCCCAACCTGACGTTGACTGCAGAGCCGTAATCTTTTCCTTGAAGACGGGGGATTATACAGTTTTTGCTGTGTACAACGGCAGAGTTGCAGAGCTGTAGTTAATGATGGTCAATGTCGGCCTCTATTGGTGAAGTCATGGTCGTTGCCGTCTAAAACGCCAATAATGATGTTTCCTTTTTCCGAGTTTGCAAGCCTCCTTTCCGCTGTGTTCTCGAACCACACACACTGCGCTGTCACGAACCTTTCTTCTTTTCTTATTCTGGAACATTCACTGCTTCTAACGTTGAACTTCCAGGCACGTTGGCGGTACGTTTTCACTGTAACTACAGGGGTCCAACAAAGAATGGCCACGCATCATACTGATGTCTTCGGATGTTTATTTGCTCTCTCTCTCTCTCTCTCTCTTATTATCTTCAGACACCGTGAAAACTGAAGAAACACAAAGTTTACACAATAACGGTTTGAACTTATCAGTCTCTCATACCATTGTCCATAAACAGTCTCGTGCAAGCAGAACAGAAAGAAAATGCGCAATAATGAATCACAAATGTCCTCTCATTAACAGTGTAGAACACATATGCAACATTATACAAACATTATACATGAAACCGTACCGTGTGCGCCTCTTGGACCACATGCAGAATGACATTAACGTCGAGGCTGTAGACGCATCTGTAGCTATGTATCCATGCTATGGTTGCTATGGTAGCGCTGTCAAACAAACTCTGATCATGTGACCATTACAAACTCTACCTCATACAAACTTTACAGCACGTTACATATTTAACAAACCCATATTTTTTAATCACATATTTTAGACATGTTTTTAAATCAATGTTACACTTTTATCATCTTATCTAGTAATTAAATGAACCAAATTAAGCATCTCTCTATCACAGAAACATTTGAAATAAACAACTTTATTTTAACTGTCTCAGGGACAGTTACATCCGGTAAAAGCTGTATTACAAAATGTTCATTTATAATATGTGACGGTAAAAGCTGCATTACAAAATGTTCCCTAACACAGGTGAAGGAGCTTCTTATCACAGAGTGTCGTACAACTGCTGCTGCAACTGCTGACGGACCCCAAGACTCCCAGCCTCCAGCCAGTCCAGATGAGATGGACTTTTTTGACTTTGAGATCCAACCCAGAGAATCCTTGTCAGCAGAAAATGAAGTAACTGACTATATAAGGTCAGGGCATGAGCTTGAGATTCTGAATCAGTTTCCAACTGTCAAAAAGATTTACATGAAGTACAACACTCCAACGCCATCCAGTGCACCAGTGGAAAGGCTGTTTAGCTTAGGTGGATTGGTGCTTTCCCCGAAAAGAAACCGACTATCTGATAGAAGGTTTGAGAAGTTTCTGCTGATGCGATGTAACCACTGCTTCACTCCAAAAGAAAACAAAACATCTGGTAAATTTTAGGTTAGTCATAATTTTAGACTGGGTCTAAATGTAGCACGGAACAGAAATTTTTATTTATTTTTTTGTGGTAGAATTAGCATTACTCGTCCTCTTTGCACTTCAGCAACTTCTAAAAAAATACTGTATGGAAGAAACTTGAATTTTATTTATTTTTATTATTTTTGGCAATGTGTTAGTTGGATTTGCTTAAAAAGGTGAGTGTAAATGCCACAAAAATGTTTTACTTTATTTTATATGGAAGAATATGCAGAAGGAGACGGTGGAATGTGCAGAAAACAGGTTTTTATGTTTAAAAAACATTGCTTAAACTGTTCTGGAGTCAGTTACATTTACAGGTTTTTGCTTGATAGATAGTCATAAGTCATGAAGTGAAAACATAATTGAAAATGATATATTTTTGGTTAGCCATATACACTGACACTAGGTCTAAATGTAGCATGAAACTGAATTCTCTGTTTTGGTTGTTATGTCATTACTGTAAGTTCCACTTCACCAACTTCTAAAAAATTGTTAAATGGAATAGTGTAATTTCTTTTTTTTTATTTTAGTTGTATTTCACTTGAATTTACTCTAAGTTTAAACACTGCAAAGGTTAGTCATTTTAACTGCAGGTATGTGCAGAAATATAAGAAAAAAAACTTGATTTATTCTTAAAATGTGGTGAAATGTGCAATAAACAGGTTTATGTATTAAACTAATTTCTTTGACTGTATCAGAGCCGGCTGCAGTCGTTTATTTAGTTTTTTCTTCATGCAATGTTTGTAAAGGAAAAAGTTAAAACCACTAAAAAAAATTTAAGAACAGACTGTTTCATGATTGAATTTTATATGACGGAATATACTTATAGCCTAGTCAGGTTGTGTTTCATATTTTCACAAAGTAACCAAGTAATTAAGTAACTAATTACTTCTGAAAATAAGTAATCAGTAAAGTAACAGGATTACTTTTGGGGGGAAGTAATCAGTAATTAGTAATTAATTACTTTTTCCAAGTAACTTGACCAACACTGTTTATCATATATAAATATCTAGGATATTATATATTCGATAGAAGTTCATATGCCAACGAGCTTGGTCTACTTTTAATCCAAAGATTAATGTTTAATTTAAGATAATTAAATTTAATAGCAAAAGTTTGTTTATTTAATCAGAAGTTTAAAGGAATCTTTGCTTTTTCAATAACCAGAAATATACACCATTCTGTGTTCCATTTCAAAGAAGAGTCAAGTTTTTAAAGTTAAGAATTTATTACTAACACTTTTAAAAAATGACAATTTGAAATGACAATTTAGAAATGACAATTTTTAACAGACAATTTGATGTTAAAACTTGTTTTAAAAAGCAAACCTATGACTGAATGGAAGCTAAAATGAAAATGCGAGTTTTTGAATGCGTGAATGAATATCAGAAGGTTTGTTTCAGCGAGAGAAGCGTTTCTGGGTGGAAAGTTGTTTTGCAGCTAACTGATGTTTATTAGAAGAAACGGCATACAGACGCAATCTGTCAAGAGTGTCTACCTCACCCAGTATCAGGAGACCCTCTTCTGGATCCGAGATGTCAGATGGAGATGGTTTCCTCCAGGCACGAGGTTGGTAGGACCTTAGTGTGACCAAATCGGTCCTGAGATGTCTCCGTGGGTCACTCGACTGGTGAAACTATTTGCGTCTCAAAATAAAATAACTCTGAAGGAGTTTTGCGTCAGCTGGAAACAGGTGCGTTTATTCGGAGCAATTCTATCGGCGTGACAGAATGCTTAGTAGAGATTCGGGCGGCCGTCCCTCTTCTCCTGGTATGTTCAAGAACTGAACTTTTTGCTGCGGGATTCGGTTTTAACAAAACCCTCAGAACACGCCCTCTCAGCGTCAGAAAGCTTGGCCATGAAGTAAAGACATGTGATGGTTTTTCCCTTTACCCTGGATCCCTTCTGAATGAGGCTGGCTAACGTGCAAGATGACCTTCTGGTTTACTGAACACACATTAGGACTTTCAACCATAATTATTATTATACCCAAGCATAATAAGTCATTCCAGTAATTAAAATACATTTATACTGAATCAAGAGATTATTTATGATGGTTGTAATAACAGTAATAAAGTCAAGAGATTATTAAAATTATTATTTAAAACAATTATTGTGAAACTTGAGGTGTCCTTCGTCTTGGGACGGAACAGCAGCAGATAAAGATGGTTTCAGCAGACATCACGGCTCCTGGCGGGTTAATCTGTGGGGCAAAGTTACAGTCGACCCAGCTTGACCCAGCTGGGAAAATGTGACCTTTGTCACAAATTAGAGGCCATTCATGACGCTACACATGAGATAACACTCATTCATTCAGGACTGCAGATGTGAATTAGCTTCACGTTAAATCTGGTACAATGCATCAAATTTCAATATGTATGTTTAATATTGTACACGGTCCTTAAATAAACAAACATTCATCACAACTGTAGCTACATTCCTACCAGCATTATAAAGATCAATAAGCCACATACATGGTAATAACATGTGAAAGTTAAACATTTCATGACATAAACTTAACTAATAAAATTCTGCACTGATATAAATTTCTATTTTCAGCTAAATTAATATTTACTGTAAGTATAAATAATGCTGGAATGAAGCTGAATCATTTAGTAAATAGTTGAGTGTTCAAATAAAAACAAGTGTGATTGTAATTTGTCCATCGTGTCACCAGCTACAGAAACTTCTGGGACACCTGACCAACCAGGTGGATTTTCTGTGTGACGTTTCCATAACGTTATAAAAGCTGATGCAGATGATCAGATGATCTCCTCCGGGTCGTTCCGCTCTCCCGTCACGGTTCGCTCCGTTTCTGTCTGTGACGCTGCAAAGCCGGTTTCCCTCTAATAGCGATTTTTGGAGTAACCTGAATTACATCGTTGGAAAGCTCGTTTTATGTCCTTTTTGAAACCGTTGGAATTGTTTTAATTCCATCAGTCATTCAGAAGTTATGACGCGGAGAATCTAGATGAGAAATAACGTGGTTCTTGTGTTTTTCTAGTTTCACTTCAGAAGAAGTCTCTCATGTTCACTTTTCTGTCTGATATGCTAACTCTGCTCCACACACACACACACACACACACACACACACACACACACACACACACACACACACACACACACACACACACACACACACACACACACACACACACACACACACACACACACATGGACTCAAATGTTAATGTAAACAAAAGCTCTGAGGTTAAAATCCATCCAGCTGACGTGATGCAGGCTGAATAAAAACTTACAGGTAGATGAACGCAGACTCCTGCAGACAGGCAAAACACCGGTCTGTCGTCTCCATGGCAGCGAGTTAGAGGGACAGCCAATCATACGTTAGCCTGACGTGGCAGAGCCAATCAGTGAGTGAGACTCTAAATGCAAATATTTTTTCTTCTGCCTAGTGGTATGCAAGCCCATTACAGCGGTACTTTGAAACAGTTCATATTTCACTTCCCAGATGATGGCGTTCAGTGATTCGACAGCATTTGCTGAACCTTACTTAAAAATCTAAACAAAACAAAAACATTGGACTGTGATCTGTATTGCTTAATTCATTCACAAGTGAATAAACCCACAGCTTTTATCAGTGATAATGGCAAAAAAATGCCTAAACCACAACTACATGAAAAAAATCAGAACAGGACAACCGCACTGATGGATATAACTGATTTTGACGTCACAGGGTTATTGATGTAAGTGTAGGTGTTTGTTTAAACGGAGGGTCATCAATTTTATTTTACATTTTAGAGTGGTGAAGAATGACCTATTTGATCACCCTCCTGTTATCTGTAACTTCCTGAGAACAGATGAAGGTCCAACAATCTGTTGATTAGGTTACCCCGGTCAGCTGGTTCTGAAGAATTGTGTGTGTGGGTTTATCTGTAACTTCTGGGTGTGCCTTCCTAAATAAAAGGAGCTCCAAGGCTTTGCCTAAGGGTGAGAGCAAACTGACCTCCGTCTCTGGTGTGTATTTGATTTCTCTCACCCTTTGCAAAGTATTTGTTGTTGTTTGTTGTTGGCAGGATTACAATTTACCAAATTATCAATCTAATCCCTCTGTGTGTGTTCTAAACTTTCTTTGAGGTAATATGGCAGTAATATAAAAATTACCCAACACGCATGATGCTGCGCTACTGAGAGAGGGCGTGAAGCGTCGTTCACACTGAATACAGAACGCATGCAGAAGTGCTAAGTGTCTGTGATTAATCGTCCACCAGCAGTGCTTAGTTGTGTCATCAGAAATAAAGGAAATGTGGTTAATTTTCATGCTGAGCTGTTTCTTGGAGTGCTAGGACTCAATCATGGCAAAGTTTGAGTTTAAAAAGATAACCGGATTATTACAATCTAGTCCATGTTAATACAAGCATCGGTACACCGGTGGAGAACCATGCAGCCCAAAAGTGGTTCTGTCTTTCCAGCATCTGTCCACTGCTTATAACTCTGTAACAACATCCCTAAAAACTCTGGTACAGGCACATTCCTAAGCCTGCTTAGAATAGCAAAATGCTATTATAGGAGAATGGAGTCTCCACAGAGCCGCCTTGTAATTTATGACTTCTTGACAACAGTCCCAGCTGTCTCTCCACAGCCTTTAAGGTGGGATTTCTTCTTAGGGGCTCCAAATGAATAAAGACACATTATTTTTAAGCTGCAGTTATTACAACATTGTATGCTATTATTTTATATACAGATAAATTGTTTAAAGCAGACGCCACCGGTATCTAACAGCTTTAAACTGCAGTGGGTTATGTACTACAACCATCATGTGTCTGTTATCTTGTCTGTTTCTTAAATACAGGAGGGTATAACAGTTTTTTCTTAATCTTTAAGTAATATTTTTTTTGTATTCAGAATTCATGAATGAACATCTCAAATGTTTGGTTAAGGTCTGAGTTTAAAAAACAAAGGAGATTTGAAAATGAAAATCAAAAGAAGAGGTGGCTCAAGGGCCGATCAACGATAGTTGAGCAGAGGTACAAGACTAATATTAAGGTTGTAAAAAAAACCAAATAGTACATTTGGAAGTACTGTTGTTAAATAAATCCCTCGAGCCTTGTGTGGATGCTCGTATGTCTCTTTAACTTTGTCTTTCGGCTAAATCTTTGTCAACACAGCTTACAGGCAAAGGCTTCTCTCCTGTGTGGACTTTCATGTGTGTGTTTAAATTTGCCTTACGGGTACATCTGTATTCGCAGAGCTCACAGGCAAACGGCTTCTCTCCTGTATGGACTCTCATGTGTGTGTTTAAAGTTGCCTTATGGGTACATCTGTATCCACAGAGCTCACAGGCAAACGGCTTCTCTCCTGTGTGGACTTTCATGTGTGTGTTTAAATTTGCCTTATGGGTACATCTGTATTCGCAGAGCTCACAGGCAAAAGGCTTATCTCCTGTGTGGACTCTCACGTGTGTGTTTAAACTTGCCTTTTGGGTACATCTGTATCCACAAAGCTCACAGGCAAAAGGCTTATCTCCTGTGTGGACTCTCATGTGTGTGTTTAAAGTTGCCTTATGGGTACATCTGTATCCACAGAGCTCACAGGAAAAAGGCTTCTGCCCGGTGTGGACTCTCATATGTGTGTTTAAACCTGCCTTATGGGTACATCTGTATTCGCAGAGCTCACAGGCAAAAGGCTTATCTCCTGTGTGGACTCTCATGTGTGTGTTTAAACTTGCCTTTTGGGTACATCTGTATCCACAAAGCTCACAGGCAAAAGGCTTATCTCCTGTGTGGACTCTCATGTGTGTGTTTAAACTTGCCTTATGGGTACATCTGTATCCACAGAGCTCACAGGCAAAAGGCTTCTGCCCGGTGTGGACTCTCATGTGTGTGTTTAAATTTGCCTTATCGGTACATCTGTATCCACACAGCTCACAGGCAAAAGGCTTCTCTCCTGTGTGGACTCTCATGTGTGTGTTTAAACTTGCCTTATGGCTACATCTGTATCCACAGAGCTCACAGGCAAACGGCTTATCTCCTGTGTGGACTCTCATGTGTGTGTTTAAACTTGCCTTATGGGTACATCTGTATCCACAGAGCTCACAGGCAAAAGGCTTCTGCCCGGTGTGGACTCTCATATGACGGGTTAAACTGGACTTTTGGCTAAATCTTTTTCCACAGTCATCACAACTAAATGATTTTGGTTCTTTCTGGACTTTTCTACATGAGCCTCCATGTTGCTTCTCTTTCACACATTTTGTATTAACCGAACGCTCTGAAGACCTTACTGCTGAATGACTTGTCACTCTCACATGTTCCTGAAGTGACCACTGGTGGAGGAACTGTGTACCACACACAGGGCAGCTAAATGATTTGTTGACGGTCCTAATATCTGACTCCGAAGACTTGTTCTCATTACAGCCATGATCTCCGTTTCCAGTTTCAGGCCCAGAGTCTGAACGCTCAGAATCTAGATTCACATCATCTTCATCTTCTCGACTAACTTCAATCTCTGAAGAATCAGATGTCTTTTCTTTAGGGTCCAGATCTAGGTTCTTGCTAGTTTCTGCTCCTCCACCAACTTTTGCTGTCATCTGCCCAGCCAAGCTGCTGGTTGGGACACCTCCGTCTTTCATTTGATGGTTGTGGAAATGTAAGAGCAGAGGTTTGTCATCCGTTTCTTCTCTCTTCCTTGAAACTGCAGTGAACCAAGCAGAAATATATAAAAGAAAAATATTCAGTAAAAAGAGAAGACATAAGACCTAGGGGTGTTTTTGCAATCAGTAATATACATAACAAATGTTGATAAACACGTTACTATTTATGGTAATGCATTACTTTAACAAATAACTATGAATCTTAAGAGTTGCTTTTAAGTCCAGACATCACTATGCGATTGGTAGAAGGAAAAAAATGCTATCTGCAAATTCTGATTTACGCCTCTCAGAGACGGTCAAATCAGCCGTCCGTCGCTGCTACTGTGGAGCCTAGAGACACCCTGACAGCAGCATCACGTCGGCCTCTCCCTTCCTTTCCCTAACACTGTAGGCGCGCAGGGGCAAAAATGTAAACAAACATATCTGCCAAATCTTTACTCCGTGAGAGTGCTGTAAAGTTTGTATCCTACAACGAAATCACGGCGCGGAGCATCAACACTCGTCTGTAACCCATAAAATAATAATGAGCATCATGCTTCTAGATCAGCAGCTTGTGATGACAGTTAGTTCGGCTCACTGGGTCAGCTTACCTTAATCCACAAGATGGCTCATATGGCACTAGAATTCCAGATAAAGAGCTAGAAGTAAGGCCATTTAAACATTTGTAGGCCAGAACCAAAATCTTAACTGGGATCCAATGCAGAGAGGCAACAACTGGAGTGATATGATCAAATCGACCAGTGCCAGTTTAAAGACGGGTTGCAGCATTTTTAACTAGCTGCAGCCTAGCAATACACCCATGATAAAGATTAGGGCTGCACGATATTCATTAAACCTGCAATATTCGATAACAGTGCTTAATATTGCGATATTGATATTACTCATGATAAATGAACAAATACTAAAGTATGCAGTGTTGATGTCGTCTGGCGTGTGATGTCTGCTCTGGGTTCAAAGCAAACAAAAACTAATGCATGAATTCCATTACAACATAACATTTTTATTGCAAAAACATGCAGCTGCACCTGCTACTGTATTAGCAGCTGCACCTGCTACTGTATTAGCAGCTGCACCTGCTACTGTATTAGCAGGTGCAGCTGCTACTGTATTAGCAGCTGCACCTGCTACTGTATTAGCAGCAAAACAACAAACTGCATGCATGCAGTTTCTCAGTGACTTTAAAACATCACCTCCACCATAAAACTTTTTCTGATGCTCCAAATACAGAAAAACATCCTTTACCAGGTTTTTTGAATAAATAAAAATCAGAAAATAAGTTTAAATGTTAAACAATAGTTAACATCACTTAAATGCAACAGCAAATTCTCTCATTGCTACTGAACATCTTCTCCACTTATGTGGTTATGATATAAGGCTGTTGCTGTAATTGGGAAGTGAACTGTGCTGGGCCAAACTAGGAGAATATTAAGATTTTCTGAGGGAAAGAGAAAAACAATTGTCTACCTTTCAGAAGAGGAACTGGCAAAAAAAAAACTACATGGAAAATATGTGAAAACGTTTGTTTTTAACCCCAAATTGAACGAGTTTACGTATGACACGGATGGAAATGTTGAACCAAGCATTTATCGCCGTTTTTGACGTGCTTTGCGATGGGCCTATCCCACGTCCTGTTATCCCGATGACAATAATTTTTCGATATATTGTGCAGCCCTACTCAACACTCAAGTAAAGACTATTGCTGTAGTCTAAACAAAATGCATTAAATGCATGAATAAGCTTCTCAAAACAATTCCTCATCAAAAAGGACATAAAGATTCTTTAGGTGAAAAAAATATACTTGAACCACATTATTGACTTGAACATCAAATTTAAGCTGAGAATCATTATTAACACCCAAATTAGACACAACATCAGTGCCGGCGCTCCGCACACCACGCACAGCGCGTAGGGCACCACGCCGGGGGAGGGGCACCAAACGCAAGCTTATGAAAAAAATAATATGTATATGATACAGACAGATTTCAATTAGAAGATGTGCAAAGCAAGTTAACAGCATGATTACAGAGAGAAAACAACACAAAACGGAAAGGAGATGGACCGTGTCGCACCGTCAACCCCCCCACCCCCACCCCCCCGCGCGGAGCATACAGCGCAGCGGGCACAGTCATGGCTCCGAAAAGGCTGCAGGAGTCCGGGGCAGTAAATAGACAAAAGAAGAAACAGCGGGATGATGCTGTTGCTTCGATTGCAGGTAAGACAAGTATTTAAATGGAAATTCTTAATTTTTTTTATCTATTCCTAATTCTAAACACGTGTGGTCAAGTTCAGAGGGTCGTTTGACCTAGCTTAAATTCAGACTTGTTACTGCTGTTAATTAATCTGTTTATGGTCAAATTTTGCAGAGTTTGGTAAGCATGCTGCTTTTCAGGACTTTTATTTGGTGTTTTTCATTCTCTTCTTCCGCACATTTAACGTTTCGACTCTATCTGCGTGGTTTGGGCAGATTTCGTTCTCTGCTTCTCCAGTCTGTTAAAAGTATAATGCGCCACTCTGTCCTGCAGCCTCCAGTCCACCTACCGGGCGTTCATCAGTAGCTGAGTGAGAGAGGCTGAGAGGGAGAGAAACTCAGAGAAGCTTTAGAGCTTTTTTACTGCTGGAGAAAAAACGTAGCAAGTCATCATCTTCCTAAATGCAGTTATTCTCTTCTGAATCAGCACTTCTTTAAAGAAGAAGAAATAGTTAAATGCAACAAAGGGAAAAATCCTTTTATTCAGCTTGTTCATGTGACTTGTATCAACAAATAAGTCTGAACAGTGTTAAAGGTTGTTCATCTAAAAAATAGACCTTGAAGAGTTTGAAGATTTTTTTGTTTTAATAAGTTCATCTTAAAACATCTTTCTCAAGTAAAATAAAGTTTCCTCTGTGAGGTCAGATAGGCCCATCTGTGCTGTTTTGAAACAGAAATAAACAAATGAATCATATTTGTCCACCCAAATACTTAAATATCACAAAAACAGGAAGGACAAAAACACCGTCAAGGTAAAGTAAGAAATTTTATTTTTAAATAAGCGGCTGTTTGTGATTAATCATGAGTTAACTATGGACATGATTTATATCATTATTAAATAGCCCATGTGGCCTATAGGCTATGTAACTGAGATTTACTATGAAAAATTACACAAACCTATTTTCTAATTAGCTATTTGCTCTATGTTGATTTATATTTAATAAACATTTACGGGCCAAGGGGAACATCAGCTGCTGATGGTATAATTTGAAGAGAAAAGTCCATTATGCTAACCTCCTCCCTTCATATTCAGAATTTTTCTAGTTGTGTATAAAATGTGTACATTGTGCCTCTCTAGTCCTTAATAAAGGTTAAATATAGTTTTGAATTTAGTCATATCACATGCCAGTGATTTATAATATAAACCTATAAATAATCTATTGCAGTTTTTTTTACCATGGTTTAAAACTTTAATCTTATTATAGAATGAATATGACAAATTATCTTTTTGTGTTTGAATGCAGGCTCAATGAACAAGTACATTCAAGGAGGGGCTCAAGCCAAAAGTTCAGATCAGCCCTCCACCAGCAGTTTAAGAGCTCAAGATCAGTTGTCAGCCATCACGTCTGAACCTTCTACAACATCACCCAGCCCTGACCAGGAATTACAAAGTAAAGCACACCTACAGACCGAGCACAGCCCACAGCCAGCACTTCTGAAGGCAGAGTGAGTCCTGGATCTGAAAAAGCATCTGAAAATTACGTTGGAGAATCACATGTGCCACAACCGGTGCTTGTGGTGTGTGGACCTGTTACACAGTTCTAAATAATAACAATATGAAGTTCCTGTGTTGAGTAGGTTATATTATGTAAATACCAGTCCTACTTTTTGTAAATAATTTTTGTAAATAATAAGCAGTTTGTGCATACAAGAGAATTAAAGATAATTTAAGGCGAAGTGCTTGCACATACTGTGTTATTGTGTTGTTTTTTCTGCGGGGTGGGTGGGGGTGGGGTGGGGGGTGGGGGGGCACCACAAAGCCTTTGTGCTTAGGGCACCAAAATAGCTAGCAACGGCCCTGCACAACATCCTTTGCATCATATGAGACTGAGTAACTACAGGAGCACCACTTGGTGCAAACATAATCATTTCCATCTTAGACTAATCTGGAGACTATTACAACCCATCCACAATTATTAACCTCACGAAGACAACTCAGAGCTAAATCCTTAGCTTTAACAGGTGCATAGACCTGACAGTCATCAGCATAAAGATGGAAGTCAAGCTCATATTTCCAAAAGATGGCCCCAAGAGGGAGCAAATATAAATTGAAAAGCAGAGGACTAAGTACAGAGCCCTGTGGGACCCCATATTTCAGGGGAGCATCACTTGAGCTGAAGCTACCAATCTTAACAGTCATATACCTGTCAGCCAGGTAGGAACTCATCCAGAAGAGCACTGAACCAGACACCAAAAAAATTCTCCAGTCGATTGAGAAGTATAACATGATCAAGAGTATCAAAAGCAGCGGTCAGATCAAAGAGTAATAAAACGACTGTCACCCACATCAGTATATTGGTAAATATCATTGAACACTCTCACAAGCGCAGTTTCCGTACTATGCTTTGCTCTAAAAGCTGATTGAAAAACTTCTTAAATTTGTTATTATCTAAATGGTCTGACAATAGCTTAAAACATTGACGGATAAAAATTGATTGGGACCGGATTTTTTTAGACCCTGCTGGGGTCACTCAGTGACGCGCCCATTGACAACCCAACTCTGGTAATTGGCAGCTCCATAGTCAGAAACATGGCAGAGACTCCAGCAACCATAGTCAAATGTTTACCTGGGGCCAGAGCAGGCGACATTAAATCCTACCTGAAACTGCTGGCTAAGGATAAGCGTAAATGCAGTAAGACTGCTAATTACGCTGGTGGTAACATACCTGCAAACTCGGGGTGTGGAAAAAGGTGACAACTACAATGCCCCCCTCCCGTCTGTGGGGTTTGTAGTGACCTGCTCTGGCATTTACATACTTCTTGTTGGAATAATTCAAATAAACTCATCAACATGATTTTTTGCAAAATGTAAACTATTTTCTACCATGACGTTTAGACAGTCTCTGCTCAGAGAAACAAAAATATGCCTGACAAAAATGATTAGGGATCATCAGATATTTTTAAACATTTTTATGAGACTAATTCACACTCATGTTACAGCCCCCTGTATTTGGGCTGATGAGTTTATCTCCCTCTGTTCATGCTGTGAGGTGAACCCCATGATCCAGCTAAACTCCCCCACCAGAGGGAGCCATTATCTGGAACCCTTTGGCCTGCTGCTGCTCCCCACAGGGCAGCTGGTGCACATCAGCTGATTAAGAGGTCTGCACAAACAGTTGAAAAGCCAGACTGAGAGGAGCTGGAGAGAGAAGCGCAGTGAATCGAGAGGTTTTGAAGGTTTTGATTACTTTATTTGTTCTTGTTTTCTTTTTGTTTGGTTATCCTATTCGGATAAACAGGAGGGATTATGTTATGTTTATTATTAACTGAATGTATCATTCTATGTCTAAAAGCACGCACGCACGCACGCACACACACACGCACACACGCACACACACACACACACACACACACACACACACACACACACACACACACACACACACACACACACACACACACACACACACACACACACACACACACACACACACACACACACACACACACACACACACACACACACACACACACCAGAAGCAGAGTATGGGTGGGATGAGGCTGGCCCATACTCTGGAACAGCAGCTGCTATGTGTGGACTCTCATGTGATTTGTTTGTTTACATTTGTAGTAAACCTTTCTCCAGTCATCAGGACTAAATGATTTAGGTTTCTTCTGGACTTTCCTGCACGAGTCTACATGTTGCTTCACTCTAACACATTTCTTATGAACCAAACAGCCTGAAGACCTGACAGCTGGATGACTCGTCTCCCTCACGTGTCTCTGGAGAGACCACTTGTGAAGAACTTGTTGACAGACTTACCATCTGACTCAGAAGACCTGCTCTCATTCCAGTCATCATCTTCATCTCCAGTTTCAGACCCAGAGTCTGACAGCTCAGAGTCCAGATTCACATCATCATCATCTTCATCATCATCATCATCATCATCATCTCCACTAACTTCAGTCTCTGAAGAATCAGATGTTTGTTCATGAGGGTTCAGATCTGGGTTCCTGCTAGTTCCTGCTCCTCCACCAGTTTCTGCTGCCATCTGGTCAGCTGAGCTGCTGGTTGGAACATCTCTGTCTTCTATTTGCTGCTGATGAAGCTGTGAGACCAGAGGTTTCTCTTCATCATCCTCACTCTTTATAGAAGCAGCAGTAACAGGAGACCCGACAGCTTCAGTCTCCTCCTTCAAACAGAGATGCTCTCCCTCCAGACTGGTCCAGAGCTCCTCCTGTTCCTCCTTTATGTGGAGGTGTTCTGGGTCCTGCTGGTTCACACCAGCACTCTGTTCTTCAGGAGCTTCTTCTTTAACCAGCGCCAGCTGTGGAACATCTGTAGGAAACACAGACACATGATGTTACAGACCACCATACCTTTATATTTACACCATGAGTGATACTGGCTACATGATGTGGGGAAAAGGAACAAGAACATGAACTTCATTTAGATAAAAACAGATTTCTACTTTAGGAACAATAAAAACTTCCATCACAATCAGCGTGTTTGTTTCTGACCAGAACTTCTAAGCCTCCTACTCACAACCCAAGCTTTAGATCTGAAGCTGATGTGAGGAGAAACATCTCCAAGATCAAATCAGCAACTATTCAGTCAAAAGGAAAATGAATAAACACTTAGATGTAGCTGCTGTCAGTAACAACCTTTCACTTTGAAGCTCTCAGCAGGCTAGAGCACTACAAAGCAAAGGAATCTTACTAATTAGCATTTTGGGAGATTTATTATTATTAGTAGTAGTGGGTTACTTAGTGACTGAGCAGTGGGCGGAGCCTGTTGTTTTCTACTCATTGTATTATTTTTCAGCGTTTTATTGTGATTCCTTTCGTGACCTCGGTCTGGGACACGTGCTGTATGAATAAACTTGGTTCTTCTTCCACCACAGAGAAAGGCTGCTCTTCCAGCATCATGAAGTTCCTCATGGTCCGGTTATTAGCCGAGCCTTCTGACGCTCATACAGACGGGTGTTGGTGAGCGTAGCTGCGTCTGACTGGGAGGTGTTTATCTCTGCAGCCATCCCTGGAAACTCACCTCACTCCACCCAGACTTTGTTCTTTACGTCGTATTAAACCAGCTGTGATCAGCTTCCCCAGGAGCTGGAGCTTTTCACTGCAGGACTCAAAGCTTACATCACTCTCGCAGACGGAGTTAAAGTTAGGCGGACATGTTGTTTTACATTGTTGCTGCTGTCCTGCACAGCATGAAGGAAAAGGGGAAGAAGCCCAAGTGCTGCACACAGGGTTCACACAGGTGTTGCTGGTATGATCAGAACATCCCAAACTAACACCAACGTAGATACACAATAAACAACTTGTATTAAGTACTGATGAGCTATCTGCAGGGGAACAGGACCAGCTGGCATCCTCACACCAAAAGGAGGAACGGGTGTCTTTTATAAACCAGCCAGGCACTAACTGGTGTGTTTCCATTACCGAAACTTCCCAGTATGACCGTCTCCACTTCACCGGAGCCAGCCGAACCGGTCGTTTTCCTAGTGCAACGTTAAAATCATGGTTGTTACAGTTTTATTTAGTCGTGTTCACTTGTTATCGAATCTTCCTCTCATCATCAACCATCTAAAACCTCACTCTTCATTGTAGAACCTGCCTGCAGCTCAGCAGGTCTGCTGCTCCCTGTCTCACCCTCAGCAGGTCTGCTGCTCCCTGTCTCACCCTCAGCAGGTCTGCTGCTCCCTGTCTCACCCTCAGCAGGTCTGGCTCTGCCTGTCTCACCCTCAGCAGGTCTGGCGCTGCCTGTCTCACCTTCTTCATCATTTTCCTGCTGAACTTCCTCTGGTCTCTTATATGAAAAGAGTAACATCAATAAGGTATAAAAAACAAAATGTGATGAGAATGTCACAAACAAGCAACAATCACACTTACAAATTCCATTTTATGTGGAGAGTCTACTTTTTTATTTATTTCGTGACAAATGGTTTGTGTCTGTTACTGTCGAATCGTGTCAAGTTCACCATTTTTTGTTGACTAGCAGTGTTGTTTAATGTTTAATGCTGCCTAGCAAGATGTTTACGTTAGTCAGCCAGTCTAGCGTTTGACCAGAAATACAATTATCCTCTTGGACTAAATTATTACCAACTCACATTTCCTTTCTTTCTTTTTTTGCCCGTGAGAAGAACTCGCAGAGCTGCTGTCATCCCGGCTCTGACTCCCGCTTCACTCAGCCAGCCTTACTGCCTGAGGGGAGGGGCTGTGTCAGTGAGAAGTCTGCGGTGTCTTTCAAAATAAAAGCTCGCAAGTCAAATATTTCAAAATCATTTTTTTCTTCTCCATGTTATTGGGGGGGACAAATGTGCGTTTGTCCAATATTGGAGGGGACATGTCCCATCAGTTTCCCCCGACCCCCCCCCCCCCCCCCCCCCCCGGTTCCTACGCCCTTGCCCAGAATATCTAAAATTAGGATGGGGAGCAGATCTTTTAGTTATCAGGCTCCTCTCCTGTGGAACCAGCTCCCAGCTTTAGTCCGTGAGGCAGACACCTTGTCTACTTTTAAGACTAGGCTTAAAACATTTTTATTTGATAGGGCCTATAGTTAAAATCTGATGTTAGCCTAGATCTGGACAAGTGGGGGAGTAGAGGGAGGTGGAGTGTACAGTCGGTAAAGACGGCTCTCCCATGCTCTGCCTCCAACATGCCTACATCTAAATAGGATAGATAATCCAAGGTTATCTCTGTAGTTATGCTGCTATAGGCTTAGACTGCTGGAGGATACACTGACCACTTTCCACACTCTACTACTTTCTTCTACAATCTGCTCTTTAACTGTATTATTTCCTGCTATTTCAGCTGTTAACTTTATTTTCTCTCTAAGTGTTTTTCTCCCCAGAAGAAGCTACAATGATGTTCTGCTGAGCTGTGGTGGCCTCATGGAGGGGGCCATCGTCTAGCATACTGCTGCTAACCACAAACTTTCTCCCTCTCCTGATAATAAATATTTGCTTTCCTTGACGTTGGATGTGCTACTGCTAATTTATCCCTTTAATACCATACCATACCATATTTATTTATAAAGCACCATTTCAAAATAGCATGGCAGCTAACCAAAGTGCTGTACATAAAAAAACCAAATGCTTGACCAAGAAACACAATAAGAACAGGCAAAATACATAAGACCAAAGCATAAATAGTCGGAGATAAAAAATTCTACTAAAAACAATCAAATAGGAGGACAGTTAACAGCCCTATAAAAATAAAATAATGCGACGAATAATAAAAACATTTGAAATGGCACAAATAAAACGAAATAAAATACCAGATGGTGCGAGGTGCCAAAAGTGAGCAACTAAATCATAAAAATGGAATTAAAAACTCAAATCTGGTGCTAGATTGTCATGAAAAGTGTCACGGAGGGAAGGCTATGCTAAAGAAGTGCGTTTTCATGGCCAACTTGAAACTGCTAAAAGAGGGAGCCAGACGCACATGGAGGGGCAGAGATTTCCAGAGTTCTGGGGCTGCATAAGAGAAGGCACGCTCCCCCCGTGATTTGTACCGAACCTTTGGAACAACAAGCAGCAGATAATCTGCTGGCCGAAGGGCACGGGTTTGAACATATGGGGTCAGCAGGTCCATCAGATAGGATGGGGATGGGCAGTACAAAGCCTTGTAAACATATAACAGGACCTTGAAGTTAATCCTAAATTTGACTGGGAGCCAGTGTAAATCTGCGAGAATGGGTGTGATGTGCATGCGTCTGTCGGTGTTGGTTAAAAATCTGACCGCGGCATTTTGAACCTTCTGCAGTTTCCTTAAGGCTGAAGCATCAATCCCAATAAGGACAGAATTTGCGTAATCCAGACGTGAAGTAATAAAAGCATGAATGACTGACTCAAGATCGGGGCGTTTGAGGATTGACTTAAGATGAGTGATGCGGCAGAGTTGGAAAAAGCAGGACTTGACAGTAGCGTTGACTTGTGAAGACATTGAAAGGTCAGAGTCCAGTTTCACACCTAGGCTAGTGGCACATGATTTGAGATTGAGTGGGAGAGTTGAGACATCTAAAGCACCATTCATGTTAGTGGGGCTAAAAAGTATGGCATCTGATTTGCTGTCATATAACCCTAGGCAGTTTTGAGAAAGCCAGGATCTGACCTGGGAGAGGCATTCTGACATTATAGAAAATGAGTGCTGTTGGTTGATTTGAAGGTAGATCTTTAGCTTAGATGCATTGAGGGTTCTGTGTCTACAAAGGTGGTGCTACCATCTGAGACCTTATGGGTAACGGTTCCCCGTGGTGCTACGGTCCACGTTGGTGAGGTCTCTCTATATCACTTGGATCCTGGTGAGCATAGGTCTGTAGTGGAGTCCTCTCCTTTCTATGATAACATCTCTTTTGCTCTCTCTAGAAGGACGGTGGATCGGGTGACGTTCGGCGGTCCGACCGTGGTTCAAGTGGGTGTGGTGAACAGGGTGCTGCGTGAGCTGAAGTCGGATCCCGATCTTCGGTATCAACCAGTGTCTTACTCCTGGTCCTCCTCTGACTCGGTGATGATATTCATTATTAGCATAAACATCTGCTTGATTTGGGCTATGTTCCTTTTCCAATACCGTCGGTTCTCCGCCGAATTGGAAATTCTGGAGACGTCGATCGCTGATGTTAGCGGACGCCTGATTCGGACCTTGGAACTGCGTCGCGATAGACCGGCTGCCCAGGAGTCTGCGCCGGAGCCGGTGAGTTCCTCTCCTCCTCCGCCTCCTCCTCCTCCAACATCAGGGACGTAGAGAATGGAGGATCCCGGTTATCAGGCTCGGTGGTTCCACAGTCGTCTATCTCCGGTTACACACTTTTGTTTGTTTGTGAGTGTGCATGGTTGTCTTTCATGTTATACGTCACGTGCAGACTTAGGGTGTGTTGAGATGGACGTGCTGTGGGCTCCTGGAGTCAGGTAAACGGCCAGGTAACAGTAAGTGGGTTAGGTCACATAGTACTGTTGTCCAAATTTTTGTTTTTTTTCTCTTTACTAATCACAATTCCTTATGGGTGCATTCACATGAAGGGTTTACTAACTACTGATTTACATTTTAGTACTGATTTAAATTTCTGTTTTTTTTACAGTATCTTTGAAGTTGATTTAAAAGTGATTGTTATGATTATCAAGTTGATTTACCTTACGGGCCATAACCAATTTTGCCCCTATCCTGACAGCATGTATTTCCAGTGAGGATTCACCGATACCAGTTAGGGTTCTTTCATTTTCTGCTTTTCGCATCATCCTTTTTGTATCTTACACAGAGAGGGTTGCATCCTTTTCTTCACTTAATGGGTAATTCACATAAAACTTACACATAGGACAACAGGTACTCATA